CTACTAAACCCACAAGCATCGTCATCAGCCGCCTGCCTCGGGGATGCCTTGAATATTTGGCCAGTCATGCTCACTGCTCAGACCGCAGACTAAAAGGCTCTCTTGCGCTCAAAGATGATTTCTGTTATATTTACAATAAAGGAATGCGAATTTAATGTTGTGGCTCAAGCGTTATTTAAAGTGGCTGCTAATGGTTGGAATTTTTTTTCTTTTCAGAGCAGTAACGTTAGGAACTTGTCGTAAATTCAGGGAAAAGTTATGGTATTAGTTTTGTTTGCTGAAAGCAGTGAAGTCACTAATCAATATATATGGTATTGATTCGTAAAAAAGAGGAAAAACTTTTACATATTACTTTACAAATCTTCAACAATTGTGTGGGACCGCTCGTGTGTTGGTCCATAATTATGTTGGTCCATAATTATACAGGATTTCATCTACCGAATGTTTTGCCATAACAGATGAAAATTTAACAAAAGAACAGGTTTATTTAGTTCCCATTTTATACCCATTTTTTCAACTATGCCCCACATTGCATTAGTATACCACTTGTAGGCCGCCGTACCGCTACAGGTCTGTCGAAATGGTCATCTAAATGATGCAGAGGTGCAATCAGGCCAACTAGCGACCTAATGTCTCACATCAATAACCATTACTGGAACATTTGTTTTCTGCTCCTAAGTTGTCACTTCTTCTGAGTGAATAATCCTTTTTTCGCTATGTGTGTGTTTCACTTTACATTGTAATTTCTTATGGCGAAAAAGGACTTTGGTATTTACTTATATTCGATTGTACCATTACGTGTTACTAATGTCCATAAGAATTGAATAAAAACTTGGCGCTACTTCTTTAAAATTCACGCTAATTCTAGAGGCATAATCCAACAATTATGGTTGATTAACAACTGTGTAATTTTTTATATTATGTAGCGAAATTGAATTTGTAGATTTAATTAATTATGCATCGGCATAACACTATCACAGTAAATGTTCTTTTAATAGTTAAATATTTCATAGAAACTTTAAAAAAATTGTTATCTCTGAAATTCATTGAATTGCTGGTCTCGATCTTCCATATTTCACATAGAGAACGAACAAGCTTTGATCGCTTTGAAAATAACCCAAATCATTGTCGCCAACATCGACATTCATTCCAATAGGATCATCAATCTCTTGATGATCAATCATGAGTCACGAGTGATGATCAGGTGACCACCAACACAATGCATTAATCACCAACACAATGCATTAATCACCCTCATTAGTGCTGCTCTGACCACCCATCATGATCACCTTCTCGTTCAATTAGAGATAACAAACTAAAGGTTCCTCACAAAATTGCTCATCTTCTGGTTTTATAATTGGATATGGCGTGTCACTGTGTTTTAGGAAAGTTTAAAATGATGTACTTGCTCAGAACTGAAGGGGTGAGTGTGGTGTGGCTATATAATAGTTAAACCGAAAAAAATTGTCTATATTCATGTTGAATGATTAAACAGTTAAATGTTCTATGATGGAAGTGTGAAAATAGAATACATTGAGTTGGACTGAAAATTAAATTGTGAGGCAATAGGCTTCAAATTTAATATTAATGAATTTGCGTCGGATCTTATTTAGCAGTTTCCGTCTACAATCACATTTTCATTATAAACCTGCACAAGCATAGTAGGGATTTTATCATTATTTTCCGCATTACTGAATCCCAGTAACACTTATTGAAAATTTCTCTTATTTGGCGATCATAATTGAACCGAATGATTTGTTTGCTATTTCTAACGAACATGTCAATTATAAATATTTATTAGGAAATTGTGCTCTATCTTTTCTGATTCACAAAAAAATCATTATTAAAGCATGATACGTGAATTTCTTTTTGTGTTTAATTAAGAGCATTGACGATGGAGCGACGTTACGGCCATTTGTATGAAATTTAACGCATTTTGCCGTCTGCCTTCATAAGCACCTGGATTATGGAACAAACCGATTAGTTTGTTTCATAAAACTTGGTTCATGGCTTTCAAATTGAATTCATATAGCAGGATTTTTCAGTAAAATACCGCGGCACAAGCAGGCGTCTTCCTGCGTGTGGCAGCTGACTCATAAACGAAATTAATGAGATAGAAGCTGGGATATATCTGATTTTAGCCTCAAAATGTCTGCATAATTAATTTTATAACAGTATTATATCAAATTGTTCATAATGTAGCGGCCCGACTTTCTGCACAATGTTGGTTTTGCTTTTCTACTGCCAACTCATTACTCGAACTTGAAATGGAAGACAGAATCTTCAGAGTTGACTCTCGATTGAACCCCACGTTGTATAGTTGAGCCTCCTCAACGGGAGTGACTGGACACAGCCGCCATGAGGTGGTCTGTGAAAACAAGTCCCTGGATCTGCCTCCGGAGCAGCTGTTCGTTCGTCTAACTGTCTTGTCTATATTTGGGACTGATCAGTAACTGTCTTGTCTATATTTGGGACTGATCAGTAACTGTCTTGTCTATATTTGGGACTGATCAGTAACTGTCTTGTCTATATTTGGGACTGATCAGTAACTGTCTTGTCTATATTTGGGACTGATCAGTAACTGTCTTGTCTATATTTGGGACTGATCAGTAACTGTCTTGTCTATATTTGGGACTGATCAGTAACTGTCTTGTCTATATTTGGGACTGATCAGTAACTGTCTTGACTATATTTGGAATTGATCAGTATCTGCCATGACTATATTTGGGATTGATTTGCTAAATCTTTTTCTTTGAGCCATGGATCGGAAGCATCGGCCGTGTGGGGTCCTAGAGAATCGGCCTCTATCATGGCTCTACCATCGGCTCTGCCTTCCGTCTGGACGTCGACTTCAAGACAATTGCGTAATGTCAATTCACCTGTATGAGACCAGCCTGGCGGGAGTCAATAACTGGGTGGACGGTCCTGGATTAAAACACATTCATGGTCTTCCAGCACTAAAGTGCTCCCTTGATAACTTCTACTGTGTCTACCTAAGAAATTGTCAACCTTCGTGCCCTTACCAATTAATGTGACTTCTTATCGATCAAGCGCCGGCAACCTTTACGGTTGTGCCCAGCCGAACCACACTTTCGCCCATTGTCTCGAGTTTCAACTACCCATCCACACTTGATTACTTCTTGAATTATTCTTCATATTATTTGTCGTCATTTAAAAATTGGCCATTAAATAATGCATGTGCATTTCATCCTTTGTACTCTTTTGCAAATAGAACTTTTGATGGCTGACAATTTAGCAATAAGTTGTCCTGCTTTTACACTATCCCGTTGGGGTAGCCTAAATATGTTGGAAACTCTCCCAAACCAATATCAACACTACAATTCAAAGGTACACTTCATATGTAAACAGTAAGCGCTCTATGATACTTTCGGTAGAGCATTGCGTTCGAGGTGGTCGATGATATCGTCTCTCGTGCTCAGATTTTCTCATACGCACGAATCGGTCAAATAATTTCACGAATACACACGAATTAATAAAATAACTTTACAAATACGCATGAATAAATTAAATAATTTTACGAATACGCACAAATCAATCAAATAATTTTATTACGAATACGTAGTAATCAATTAAATAATTTGCGAATACGCACGAATCATTTAATTAATTTTACGAATACGCACGAATCAATTGAATAATTTTACGCATACGCACAAAAGAATAAAATAATTTTACGAATACGCACGAATCAATTAAATAAATTTACGAATACGCACGAATCAATTAAATAATTTAACGAATACTCACGAACCAATTAAATATTTTTACGAATACGCACGAATAAATTTAATAATTTCACGAATAAACGCGAATAAAATAAATAATTTTACGAAAACTCACTTATGCTTCTCAGCCATGTTTAATTTTTATTTATTTATTCAGAATTAAACGGTTAGAGATAGAGTAAATGTTCTGCTTCTTATTTTCGCTTATTCTTGGTTATTTATTTTATGCCTTGCCAGGTTTAAATTCCTAGTACTCTTTTTATTTTGTTCCAGTACAGTGTTAATCTCAGACGAAATGTTCTTTAAATCCGTCACACATTGTCTTTATTTCTCGATCTCTAGCATAAATTTTACCGTTGCAAGGCATGAACTTTCAGTTAACTTTTTTATACAACCTAAATTTTCTTCCTGTTTCCCCTCCATTCCTTCCGTTTTATATGTAGGATCGTTCAACGTTGATTTTGCGTGGGAGATAAAAATGATCTAGGGGGAAAATAGCGCAGTTGGCTGCCTTTTCTTAGCAGACCGTAATTGTCGCTAAACGCTCCCTAAAGACTAGCCCACGAAGAGGGGAAAGGCAGCAAATTGTGCGTAAAGGCTCCTGCTAATTCGAGACAGGGAATCTCCTTCAGTTTGATTCTCATATGGGTTAGGGCTTTATCAGAGTAGCGAGTTGCCACTCTAAAATGCTTGTACCGAATAGTCTTAAAATTAAGTGGTTGACAGCATGATAAGAACATGGGTTCAAGGTTGCAAACTTTTAAGGACCATTTAATTTAGTCAAAATTATTAATTTATATTGAAATATTTATTGTATTTCCGAGATCACTGGTCAAATTTGTAGATTTAGATTTGTCAGTGATACATGTGGAAAACATGGCTCATCAGATCCAACTTGATATTCTGTCACAAGCATTTTATTGGACCTCATTCATAGTAATTTGATTCTTAAAATAATTAATTTTTTATATTGGACGACTCGCGAATTTTCTGAACGAGATAGAATATTTATGTGGTATTTTAGTGAAAAAATGTCCATTTCATCCTGTTTAGACTTCCTACGTGATTCATATCGGAAAATGCATAAAATGCATGAGTTAAAATATTATGCAACTGGTTTTAAGATTTATTCTTCAATAAGCTCTGATATTAACCCCTATAGTCTAAGCACTTCATTTAAGATATTTTTCTTGTCTCTCTGCGATATTCCTAGCAAATAATGACCAAATATTAGTAATTAAATGTTATTCTCACCGTAATGTGTTGAGGTTCTCCGGCGTTATGGATCTGAAACGACAAACAAGAATAGTAAAGAACTGATCATTATTAACAAATTAGATTTCTTACTAGGTATTTGCGAGACCAGTAATACTGGCATTACAATATTGGCGTGCAATTTCATTCTCCTTAGAGATGCTCTAAATTTGCCGCTTGAATTTGTAAGTGAAGCTTACGTCGAGAATAATATTTGGTGAAATTTGAGGCGTTCTTTTGCAAGGTGGCGACTTGATACACGAAAACGCTCCGTATATAAACGCTCTGGTATAACGATAACCGTTACCAATAAGTGGTGGAAAAAATTGAAGTCGAATGCAAAATATATAAGCAGGATTGATTTATAAATGGCCTAATGGCAACGAAATTGAAGAGCAAGCACCAATTCTTTTGAATTATCGTGCTATGTTTGATACAATTTCTTACGAATTCTGAGATCAATATGTGTGTGCAACGTTATGAAAGGCATAAAAAGTAGTAATGTGCTAGCTCAATGTTGCTTCACATCTTGCCACTTAACATTTTTTTTATTCGTCCGATAAAAAATTCAATTTCAAAATGTATGCAGGATTGATTTATAAATGGCCTAATGGCAACGAAATTGAAGAGCAAGCACCAATACTTTTGAATTATCGTGCTATGTTTGATACAATTTCTTACGAATTCTGAGATCAATATGTGTGCAACGTTATGAAAGGCATAAAAAGTAGTAATGTGCTAGCTCAATATTGCTTCACATCTTGCCACTTAACATTTTTTTTATTCGTCCGATAAAAAATTCAATTTCAAAATGTATGCATTTTTGGCTGATACGTAAGACCTCAAAATTTTCAACTACGAAATTTACCATAATAGCATTGCACTTTGAAAACACGGAATGCAAAAAGCATGAAACACTTAGTTCAGGATTTAAAAATGTGCCTACATAATATGAAAGTTTCAAGGTGCGTAAATGCTAAAATTATTTATTGATGCCCAAATAATCATCAGATTATTAAAAAAATATTAGGAAGTCATTTTTTCAAGCTAACATAACTAATTTTTTTTTATTTTCACAGATATTTGTAAAGAGCAAACACGTAAATTTATTTGAATTTATTCTGACAAGTAGGAAAAAACATGCTTACTTGTTTTTTTATTATGCTTGAATTCCAAAGGAAAAGTCAATGAATTCGGAACTTACACAATAACTCGGCTTCTTCTCTCTTTTTACTGTAAATCTTATTTTGTTTATGAGTATTGAAAAAGCCTACATATACACCACTAATATTATCACTACGAGGGAACTAAGGCTACTACTACTATTAGTGCTCACCACTAGTCGTAAAATGGATAAAATAACATATAAATAAAATGATCGTTGAAACTGATTAAAATTGCCGTCTTAAGCTCGTGGCTACAAGTAAAATAGCGGTCGTAACTTGTAAAAAACGCAGTATTTATTTCGCAACAAAAATTTAAATAACAACCGTAACTGATATAAAAAAATTCTTTAGTTCGTATACAACGAGCAAATTAGCGGCTGTAACAGCTAAAAAATTCCGTCCTTAGTTCATTGCTGCATTAACTGATAAATACTGCAAAAAACTGATGCCGCGTACTGCATTACCTGATAAGAAATGCAGTTTATCGATCGTATCAACTTATAACTCAGTACTCACTGCAGTGAGTGACAGAGAGCGCATTTTCTCGTCGACGAAAACTTGAGGTCACGGACGGACGGACAGACAGACAGACGGGCAGACGGACGGATGGGCGGACATGGCGAGCACAATAGGGCATTTTTTCCATAAATGAGAAAATGCGCTAAAAGCAGTCCGTAGTTCGTAACAAAAATTCAAATAACAGCCGTAGCTGATATGTATAAAGAAACATTCTTTAGTTCGTATTAACGAGCAAATTAGCGACTGTAACAGATAAAAAAATCCGTCCTTAGTTCATTGCTGCATTAACTGATAAATACTGCAAAAAACTGATACCGCATACTGCAAAAAACTGATACCGCATACTGCATTACCTGATAAGAAATGCAGTTTATCGATCGTATCAACAGCTAAGTAGCGATCGTAACCGATAAAAATGCAAGCATTATTTCACATCAGCAAGCAAAGTAGCAGTTATAACTGATGTAAAATGCAGCCTTTAGTTCGTTAGAAAACTTGAAGCATATGTAACTGCGCTGAATATTCTATTCTCGAGTTAGGCTTCAAGAGGACAAGTGACGAAAGCCAGATGCAACACCTGCCAGACTTTAAGAGCGCATTCCCAGTGACCATCTTTACAAACCAGAAGGAAATGACCGCATTCGTCTTCAAAAGAAAATTAGTCGTGAAAAGGCTGACCAGAGCACGTCTTTCCCTAACAAAATCTCGGGTAAATTAGTGGAAGCGACGGTCGGCTAAAGGATGGCCGTTGATAAGCCGGCTAATGCCGTTGATAAACCGGCTAAAGTTTTTTGTAAATTGTTGAGCTGGAAGTGGTGAGCCGAAAACAATGGCTAATCAACTTTTCTAAAGACTCCGTCATTATCAACTTGAATGATCTGCACCTGGCAACGCTGTATGTATTACAAGTACACCGATGCATTTACTAAACTAATTATTATCTCTGTGAAACATGACACTGTCATGTTCAGTCACCACATGCATCGATACATCTACCACATTCATTACTTTGTTTGCATATTTATTATTTACATTTATAATTTTATTGCAAAATTTATTTATTGCACACGTAAATTTATTTTTTTTACAATCATTATTTCCTAATGTATCGAGAATAATACTGCACTAAAAATTCATTTCATTTTATATTGATAGTGAAGAAATATGCATTAACATTTTTTAATGAACTACAGTGGCAATAATGCAGTTAATTTTATCTAAAATGTTAAACATCTTATTTTTGAAAGTCAGAAGAGATAAAAAATAAATTGCATTACTTGACTCCAAATAAAGAAATATAGGAACATTTAAAAAATTCGGTATATCACTTGCAAATTGCAATATACCGGTAAATTATACGAACTAGCAGTCATGGATTGTCGTGAACAGGTCTTAATTTATCCAACCTAAACTTTTCACAGTATCCTTTGCAAAGTGTGTCGGAATGTCTACAAAAGTAAACTTTGCATGTGGTATAATATATGCCTATTAAATAATATACAAATGGCATAAATTAGCCTATACATGCGAAATATATTCCTAATTAGTAATAATGAATGGTAGATACACGGTAATATGGTAATATATGTGCGATGTGGTCTGTCATCTACGCCGGATTTCGCGCCATCACTCAGAAAAACAAATGGATATTAATGTCCAAATAATGACATAGTTTATGCACATAGCATTGATACGCAGTTTATTCGTGCCCAACCGAATCAGAATAACTCACACGAACGAAAAAAGTGCATCATTATTTGTAGAAGTTTTATTTATTTTTCTGCATTCACATTGCAAATTTGAACCAATATATTTTGTACCGTTGCAGATATTGACCGGTAAACTATGATTATCTTAACGATTGAATATCCCATGTGGAGATAAGTTTGATAATCACGTAAGTGTTGAGACACCGCGCCCGCCGGATGTTTATGTCATTAATAACTCTGGCATTATTTATCAACAACATCGATAGCATAGAGGTGATTAAATCCTTGTGCCAGTGATTACTCATCTATATCCTTGGTGAGTCAGACGTGGTTATCTCCTCACTCCTTATATTGTTATCTGCTGCTTTGGTCCCTACTAAAATCCTTCATTAATATTGGTCGGTGTATTGGAGGCCAGCGATCAGCCACCGATAATTATGTCCTGATTTTAAGTAGGAAATATTAGTTCTATTGTATGTTCTATTGTAAGTTGTTATAAGAACATACGTTGTAACATACGGAAATAAGTTGTTCTATTGTATGACGAATGCAAGCGATGTAGATTCATTATAAAGGCGCGTGAATTTGTCCATTCGATTAATTATGAAGTATATAGCTTATTTAGAAATAGTGAGAACTTTAACCTCCAGTTGATCCAACTTTATGATTCACGATTGCAATGTTAAAATTTCAAAGGATATTTGCTAAAAATTACCAGTGTGTAAATTAAGAAAAAATAGAACACTTTAAAGTATCTTTAAAAGATGAGCTGGACGAGTTACCAGTGAAATACTACGTCTATTTAATGCCGTGGTGTGATGAAGAAACTCTAATTAATATCATGACTAAGCTTTGATTAATAAAATTAGCGAACTGGTTGTATTTCACTTGTGGATTATCTGAAATTTCTTTCTGAAAGGCGTAGCATTAACCTGTTTAGTTTCAGAAAACGAAAATTTTCAATACTCTTATGTATACCGCACATACTGTACATCTGTTATCGTTAGAAAAGTACTTGGTATTCTTGGAAAATTGACTTCGGTATGAGATGATTCTGAAACTTTACCTATTTTCTAATCGCAACAACTTTTTAAGAGAATTTAAGTAATTTAAAAAGACAATACTTTGTATTTCGTTTTTATGAATTCCTTGTAACTTACTTTTTAGGGAATTTTTTTTCGGAGGTCATAATGAACACTCAAGGTTTGAACGCGGCATTATACTGTGTATTAAATTTATTTTCATGTACGACACAAACAATGGAACCAAACCAATGCCGTTAAAGCAAAATTGTAATTAAAATTCTTTTTCTCAATGATGCCACTGGGTAAGTATATTACGTAACTAAATTAGGTTTAAATTAACTCTAAATTGATTAATTTACTTACATAAAGTTTAATTATTCGTGTATTGAAGCAATCTGTGAAGAAACTGCTCCATTCTTATTCAGAAATTATTTCAAATATTTAGTAATAAGGTTCGTAGCGTAAGCAACAACTGCTCTCTTCTAATTTTGTCGTTATCTCTGAACTTTTCGTCTGAAACTTATTGTTTCATTCATACATCTAAAACTTGAAATAATTCCAATGCAATATTAGGTGAGCAAATTTTTTCATTATTCATTCCTTGAAACACAAAG